TCTTACTTCAATAAGAAACTCCAGTTGCCTTGAGGTACTCCTCTCTACCACCAGTCCTTGGGCTCTGGCACCTTGACCTGCTGGCTCTCCTTTCCTTACAGGCTGTGGGGTTCACATCACCCCATTTTGCCTCCAGTACTGAAGACTGGCTTGTAAGCATGCCTGTCAATTGCTCACACTGGTCACCCCATGGATGACCCAACTTCTTCCTAAGGTCTGACTGCCCTTTTCAGCCAGTCATTTCACTGTGCCAACAGCATCAAGTCCATCTGGATTGGCTGCATCTTCCCTTTCAAAGGCCCTCTCTGCCTATCACCAATCCCTAGCTTTCACCCTATTCTCTAGATCTTCACTGGAAATCACCTTTACAATTAACACCTTTCCTTTCATTAGTTCTCCCCTCACCTAAGGCCGAGGAGAAAATAGTTTCCTTCACCCTTAAATTCCTTCACTGGAAGTCACCTTCACAATTAACACCTTTCATTAGTTCTCCCCTCACCTAAGGCCGAGGAGAAAATAGTTTCCTTCACCCTTAAATTCCTTTCCTGTTCTCTCTCCCCGTACAGCTGTAGTTGAGCCTGTACAGCTAATGTTCTTTCACCCTTCCCTTTACTACCACTGCTCTTTCTTCTGTTTCACTTAATTCTTAAGTCCTTTCAACCTTAATTCCATCTTCCTTGCACCACCTGAAATGTTACAACTTGTGATCTCACACTGTTAAAGTCCTAGGGCCTTTCTTCCATGCTTCCTCCTCATCCTAAATGCGTTTGATAAGCTCCGTTCTTCCACCATCAGCTGTCACTCAGCTTTCCCTCCATTTTCTCCTCTGACCACTTTGACACCTTCCCTCTCCAAGTGTTTTTCATCCCCTTGGTGCAACATCTGCTGTTCGTGTTGGAGTTGCCTCACAGTGACAGGGCTGTTACTGCTGACACTTTTCTTCTGCTAGCAACACTTGCTCCTTTTTTCTACTCCCACTCTCAGAATGGGTCACAATAAGACCCTCCATCCATTCTGCTCCAACATCATCTCATCACAGCAAGGGTTAAGGCCTGACAAGGTAACTTTGCACTGCACTGGATATTGAGCCACTCACCCTGCCAGATGAGGGACACGATTTTAAACCATATGTGGTAGACCCAAGAAGAGACTGTCCAGGAAAACAGTCTGAAAGGGAAAACACCCCAAAGCTACATAACACAGAGCAAAAAAGCAGTTTAGGATGACTGAACTCTCATCTATCACCTCACCTTCACAGAAGTCCAGTTTGCAGCTGGTCAGGATGGTGGACGTGGGCAGCAGATGGAGTTGTCCCTGTGTTCGGCCAATTCTACAGCTCAGGCTCCAGGTCATCAACCAAATGTTCATGATATCTACACGCACTTAAAATTGGCAATGCTTAATTAAAAGCGATTTGCCTGTCCTTCATCTGACATGGGATGACCTTGAAAGGCCCCTTACAGCCCCCGTTATTCTGTGATTCTATGAATTCCAAAATAAAACCTTATTGCAAACAGTCATACCAAAGATCCGTTGTGGAGCGTTTCTCAGATGATTCCAGCCTTCCCCCTGCTGCAGGCTCCGCAAACAGCACCGTGTCGCTGCCATTTGTTCCCTGAGGGCAGGCTGGCCCTGCCTCACAGGAACATGCAGCTTTAAACCCACAACGAAGATGTCCACAAGGTTGGCTGAGACTAGAAAACACTTTGTAGGAAAGGCGAAGCTGAGAAACAGATTTTAACAACCTTCGGGTGCGTTTCCACACAGGGGGAACCCGCCACCAGCCCCAGGGCCCTGCCGCTGCCAGCAGCCCGCCTGAGGCAGGGCTCGCGCCGCCATTTTGAGTGCTGAGGCAGAGTTCCCAGGCAGCCATTTGGATTCCTGCGGCAGAGTTCCCGCCTTTGGCACACACCCGAGCTTGGGCTGAAATAAACCCTACCCGAGGCCTGACACCACTTGAGGTCTAACATCATTTTAGGTCACTGGGCTGAGGCTGCTCGACTTGAAAAGTGGAGTGGATTGAAGGTGAAAGACCTGAAGGAACTAGGAGCAGTCATCTGTGATGAAGACTCGGCAGCCATTTCACCACAGGAGTCTCGCCTCTCCTCTTTCATCCTTGATGGTACAGTTTTTTCTTTATAACTTAATTGGTGGCCAGCTCCTCCCAAGGATTTATAAACACTACTCCATTTTATTTTTTTAAAAACAGTAAAAAAATAAAACTGACAGTTGTTACCATCAGGGACAATTGCACTCAATTAGGGGAATTAGGTGCAAGACTAAAGGCACCATTCAGGAGGAACACTAACTGAAAGCTTGCCAGTAAAAATTGCTAGAAACTCCAAATTAATTTGAGTAGAAAACAAATCTCAACCTGAGTATAGTTTTTGGCTATTTGCTAGAGCATAAAAGCCTAAGGGAAAGTAATTAGAACAACTGGGAAAAAAAAGTCAAAATTATTTTAAATTTAGCAGTATTTAACCATGATGACAAACAGGATGTCAGCTTCTTAAGAAATAATAAACACTGACCATTCTAAATGTAACTTTCAAATGTCAAAATAAATCCAAAAAGCTAGCAGGTGGGCTCATCAAAAGTGACAACAAAAAGTCCCCAAACCTTTCCATAAACAATACAAAAAAGCAATTTTGAGTGTTGCTCTGCTGTAATAGCTCATCTTTCCAGAAGCAGAAATTTGAAAGTAGTTTCTTTGAAACTAGACAGAGACATCTTGCAGATTCAGTGGCTTCACCCAGTACTACACAACCAAAATTTAAAACACACAGGTGCTCAGCTTAGTCTGTTTTAATGTTCTGCAGGATAAGTATGTGTCAGAAAACAGTTTCCAAGTCACTTCAGAATCAAACGTATTTTAGCTGACACATGAAGTTGTTACTAACAAAAAGAAAAAGTTCACTTTCCAAAGAGTTTTCTTGCCATTGTTAGCTATTTGGCAATAGGTGATCTTTCTGAACATCAAGGTCCAAATACAGCCTCCCAAGGTACTTCAAAATAGCAAAGAAGTTTAGATTAGATCACACAGATGAACCTTGGAAGAATCAAAATTGGTCCTGCATCCTGTTCTTGATAGTAAAAGATCCATCATTAGCTGGCAAAGTCTAATCAGTGGTCAGTAAAAATGACACTGTTCAATGCAGTAGTTGATATACTGAGTGCCTTCACTACAGCTCAAACTTACTTCAGATCCCATAACTTATGCCCATCCTTCTCAATATAATATTGTCTGAAGCCAAAGAACTGAAAAGCCATGAAATCAGGTTTTCTAACTGATTTTTTTAATAAACTATAGAAGAACAAGATAACATTTCAACCGAAGTCATGACAGTTGCATGCTTAAAAGCAGATACATACATGTCTCTGCATTCTTCTGTTCTCTTTAGAAAAAAAAAAAAATTGGTCATGTGAAAGCTGAACATAATGCATAGATTCTACACATAGTCAAATAATAGCTGACTAAAGCAAGCAGTAACATAATAGGGAAAAAAAAGTTTTAACAGTGATTCCAGATGCATGAAAGCCTAAAAAGGAAATTTCAGTTCTAGTAATCTTATGCAGAACCAAGTTACATTTTTATACAGCATTAAAGTTTTATTAATCGAGGCACTAGAAACAAACTTAGACATTAGCTCAAATGCAAGCTCAAAAAAAAAAAAATCTACAAAATGGAGGGTACTAGAAATGTAGAACTTAAAAGGTTGCATTAGACTTGCACTTGCTCACACTGACACAGTGAAGTTAGTGGAAAACTCCTGCTTTTCCAGTTAGAGTAAAATCAGGTTCTGATTGTTGGTTCCAAACAGTTCCTAGCTGCTTCTCATTGTCCTCACTTGCCTCTTATGTATTCTCATCAGGGGAAAAAAAAAAAAATGGAGGGGTTCCTGTGCCACCTCATTTAGCAATGTTATGAAGAAATGCCAAGCACCTGCCCTTGTGCATGGTTCTAAGGTGCCACATTCCCTGACCTCATCTTCACAAAGTGATTGGAGTGATGGCATAGCAAGAACAACTGGAAACACAAAGAGCTCGAATGGACACCCAGGCATACTTTATGAGGAAGAGCATTAAAGATCCAGTGAGGTTTCCACCCAGCTGCTACAATAACTGGCACCCTCTAAACCCCTACATTAAAATATACCTCAATATTTTAATCAGGCACTTAAGTAGAAAACAAAGCAGTAATACTTAACACAGGTATTGTGATAGCTATTCTGTAAGACCAAAACATCCTGGGTGAAGCACTCGAGGAAATTAACTGTCCTACAGAACCAACTCACACCACAGGCTAAAGGAATGGAGAGTCCCTCACTACACAAGCATGCTTAAAAAAAACAACCTGAAACATGGTTAGTATTTGGTAGAAGCCATTAACCACAAACTTATATTCTTCACTCTAAAGCAAAATGTAGTGCAAGGTTATTAATCCCTTGAGAAGATGGATCCAAAAGTAAACATTGAACCTGATTTACAAGAGAATATTTTCTTTTCCTCCACAAAAAAAAGTTTCTCCACTGATAACAAGCTCCCTGAGGGAATTATTTTTTTCCAAGGGAAAACAGCCATCATGTAACAACATCATCTGACAAACTCCAGCAATCAGTAGCTGCCCTATTTTGAGCCACATCTCTGCTCAACATTACTTTGGAAAATGTGGGTTAGACCAGTCACTGGTCCTGCAAGAAGGATCCTGAACTCCCTTCTTTTAAGTAGTGTTCTGGAGATGTAATGACAGCAATGAACATATTTTAGTCCAATACACTTGAAAGTTATAGGAAAATTCTACCTACAAGTCATCATCTACCAACATTTAAATTGTTAATTACAGATTCTGTCACAAAAATACAGAATTGAGGAAAAGAGGTGGAAATTCAGGGGTAAGGCTACAGAGTTGAGACATCATCTTTATGCTAAGCAAATCAAGGGGCAAATGAAAGACACTACAGACACACAAAACACATCTTTATGTTAATGAGAATGCCAAGTGTTTAAACCGTTCTTAAGTAATTTATTTCTTTTACTGATGATTTACAAGGCCTTGATTATTAGATAAAATAGCATATTTTAACTCAACTCAAAAAAAATACAAACCCATCAAGAGTATAGAAGGAAAAGCTATATGGTTCTGTAGAATATATCACACCCAGTGCACGCACTGCTTCGTTTTTCTCATCCCAACCCATTCGTTACTTAAAGGATTTTTGCAAAGAACTATTTTGGTCTAGCCAACATGGAGTGAGCAGATTCAGACCACTGAATCAGCCTCTAATTCTGGCATTAGTCTACAGGCTAAGCCACTGCAGCAGAACTCTCCAAGTGTTTAGTGTAATCAAAAACTGATCTAGACGTGGAGCAGTTAACAATAAACAGGAGTTACAGGCTGCCTACAGTTCAGTATGGTACATTAACTGAAGCTAAAAGTTTTAGTATGCTTATTGCCAATTTCTCCCAGATTTTCACAAGCAGAGCTTCTTTGCAGATGCATTATTGCTGAGGGTAGTAAGGCTGTTGAGGAAGAGGGTACCCAGGTTGTTGAGGCGGTGGGTAGGGCGCTTGTCCAGGGTTTGGGTACACAGGGGAGGGTGCATATGGCAGGTTATACTGACCATACATGTAGGGGTGATAGCCCATGGGCATTGGCATCTGGCAATACCTGTGTGGAGGACAAAAAAAAAAAAAGCATATTTCACTCACAAAACTCTGATAATGTTAATTTTCAAATAATAACAGATACAAAAAGGCAGGTAACCACCACAGATGTTTTCCTTTCATCTGCTTTGTTGTGCAGCTCAAAGCATGGTAACTTTCAAGACTCAAACATTAAAATTCTAATGCATGGAACAAATGCAGACAGAAGGTGGAGTAAAGGCAACTTGCTGGAACTAGAACTTACCTAAATTGATTCTTACTTTTAGTATTATTGTACATATTTTAACATTTGCTAGTGAAGGAGGAAGCAGCTGCCTCTAATACCTCATGATTACTCCACAGAGATGGAAGAAAGCATAAGAAGAAAGCACACTACTCAACTGGATTTTTTTTCCTGTTTTTTCATCATCTTCAGCAAGACACAAAAAATGAGATATGCCAACATTTTTGAGATAAACACCAGGAACTGATTATGCAAGGGCTGGCAACAGTCCACAAATCACAGTTAAGGATCTGCAATCCTGTCTCACTTCTCCTTTCACAGAGCCAAGCTACAAAACTTAATGAAGCCTCCCACAAATGATACCAAAAGGAACTATATGATTAAAACAAATCATCTTGCCTCAAACACTAAGCACATCTTAAACTCTAACAATAATGGATGTTTCAAGTGTCACATGCAACAAACAAGTGGTTTAAAATAAGAGGGTAACAAAGAGCTGCTGAAGTAGCCCCCCAGCTCACCCTGGGTATCCCGGGTACGTTGGGTAAGGAGGTCCCTGTGCCTGGGAAGGTGCAGTGCCTGCTGCAGGGGCACTGGCTGCTGGGGGAGCAGCAGGAGTAGCAGCAGGAGCAGCAGCAGGAGCTGCAGCTGCTCCAGAGGGTGCTGATCCAGAAGAGGGACTGCTTGCTGCAGAAATCACTGGTGGTGGTGGTCGTGCTGGTGGCTGTGGTTTAGTCCCCTAAAAAGAGAAAAGGAATTAAGCTGGAGCTTCCTTCTGGAAGTCTTGGAATCAAAAGCTGTGGTTGTATGGCTATTTCAGTTTTATTTTAAACAGACATTCTATACTTGGTCTATACAGCTAGCAATGCAAAACATCTAAAAAGCAATAAGCTTTTCATTTCAGATCTAAAAACTATCAACACCAGCAGTACATGACAGAGCTCTCCGCAGAGCCTTTAGACTTGACTATTTCACCTCAACACATCCCCAAATACACCAACATATTCCAGAGTGATACACAGAAAGTACAGATGAGTTGGGACCTTCTATTTCCAAGCCACGAGTGGCCTGGGGAATATTTACCACCATGGTTCTGGGGGCTGGCGTGGGGGTCGGCGACGCAGCCGGCTTGGTGCCTCCGGCTGCCGTGGTCTGGTAGGTGGGCAGAGGAATGGAGGGAGCGCTGGGCTCCCGAGCAATGCTCTGCTGCAAATCTCTGTGGAAAACAAGCACACGTGCAGCTTAGCTTAACTACTGACTGCTACACGTTTCAGCAAGCTAAGCTAGAGGCCTGACAGTAAATTTAGTATTTGAAGCGCCATCACTGAGCTAGCTCAGGTGATATTTGGACTCCATCACTTCCACAGAAACAATCCTGCAGACAACCCTCTGACTAACTCTTCCATTTCTTTTCTAATAATTTCTTTATGTTCCAACTCAAAACTGGGCCATAGATTCCCAAACTAGCCAAAGGCATTAGGATCAGAAGTTATAGCACTAGAATATTTAGCTACTTGGAAGCTTTCCTGAAAACCTAAGGAAACCTCCAGGCTATGGAAAAGGATAAAAGGAAACTGCAGGAGTTTTGACATGTAAAGGGATGTTCAAACACATGAGAAAAGCAATGTTATATTGCTTGCTGATGGCTCTAAATTAAATATTGCATGCAAAGAGCATACTTCTAACAGCACTGTTGAAAAAACGTCTGCTAGCTAGTCTGTGGTATTGTTTACTTCTGGGTAAGCACAGCTATCATAAAAATCCTGGAAAAATCCAAATGGCTCAGCACATGAGCTTTCAGGTTTGCTATTCTGTTACCTCTGGTGTTGGAATTACTCTCAGTAAAATACAAGGAGGCTTTGGTGTCATTTTTTTTCCTACTAGCTGCCATTGAAGTGCATAATTTTACAGTCAGCTTGCCATGAAAACTCTGCGAAAATGGTTCTAAGTTACATTTCAGAGGAATCTAAGATTCAATATTTGAGATAGGGCAGATTTTTCAGAGAGACTTCAAGAAGCACTTAGAATTTCAGACAGTTTTGTGTAACAATGATAGGTGAGCAGTAACAGCTAGAACTTGATACCACCTGGCCATCTGGAACAGAGGATGGGGAGAATGACAGAAGATACATGGTCTAACTAGCAAACAAACAAACTAGAGGTCCTATTATACAGAACACAAATGCTTAAGTATTTATCTAATTCATCAAACCAAAATGACAGCAGGAGTGAACTGCAGAAATGGAAAGTTTGACAGAAGGTACATGGTCTAACTAGCAAACAAACTAGAGGTCCTATTATACAGAACACAAATGCTTAAGTATTTATCTAATTCATCAAACCAAAATGACAGCAGGAGTGAACTGCAGAAATGGAAAGTTCCTCAACGGAAAGAATAAAATGGATTTATTAATAAACACATGCCAAAAAGAACTGAGAAGCAAATCATGGGAAGATTAAATGGATCCATGCTGAACTGTATATAGAAGCAGCAGAGCAGACTTCCATTTATTTCTCCTACCACTTGCCCATTTTTTCAGGGCAGCAGAGAGCAGGGTTAGCATTAAGGCTAAGAGGTGACAGCCTTAACACACTATTCTCCCTTTCTCATTTAATCAAGTACCCCAATGAACATGTCCCCAAAGATTAATTTTTAAGAAATACTTAGTTGTTCCCACAATGTTCCAACAGAAGACTGAACTCTTACTTGAGCAGCTCATCTCTTTCCGTCTTGCGAGCAAAGACAAGGTCACTGCACTTGTTCTGGAACCTCAGCAGGATTTCTGTCAGCTCATTGTAAAACTAGTGAAGAAAAAAAAAAAAAGCAAACTACTTGCTAAATGGGTCCTTCCAGACTCCACGCCAGCATAATTCTACATATTGATCCAGTCATAGGTGGTGTGTTGCTACAGTGCCTAGAACCTGCCATTCCAGTCAAGTTTCCTAGAGCATTTCATTCTGCTTTTCAAAACCAGGTATTAGTCAGCTGCTGGCCATCCCTGGAACATGATCCAGCTTGTGGGGTTTTTTTATACACACGTGTGCATGTACAATTAAAAATGGTTCCATCTAGTAAACATTAAAATCAGAACAAAACTAGATCACTTCTGCTGATTAACTGTTTTTTAAAGGATAATTTTTTCTTTTATTTTACTGCCTTCAGTCAACCCCCAGTATTTTGTTTGTGTCAACATTTCAGAGTTTTCTGTTCTCCTCTAGTGAGCTACTAGTAAACCTAAAAATACTTAATATTGAAGCAGTCAGACACCTTCCAGGAGCACAGATGAAAAAAATGGAGCTAGATAAAGCCCTCTTCATCTCTGCTCACATAATCAGTAGCAGTATATAGAATACAAATTTGATAAGATGGTTAAGTAGCATGGGAGAACAGATCAAAGAATTCATATAAATTGCCTCATCTGTGTATTCAGCAACAGTTACTCAGCTGTAATTAACTTCTCCTATTTTAATACAAAGCAATGCTCAGAAAAGCTTCCTGTTCAAAGAATGAAGCATTCCAGATGTCAAAGCAATCAAAATTTGAGCAACTCACTGTCCTCACTTCACAGTAAAATCCTCCAAAATACCTCCACCTAGCACATCTGCAAAGATGATATTTGATCCATGTCTCATTCTGTAAATAAAAATACAAGTTCTTCCAGCCCCTTAAGCATTACTATACCCTTGTCCCTTCTTTTAAATTTGCTACAAGTTCCACGAAGTTGTCATTTGCTACAGCTAAGTTCTTCAAAACTTCTTCTCTTAAGTTGGATTCATTGTTTGATTGTTTCATCTTGGAGAAATCCTGATGTGCATTCTGAAAAGGAAGGAAAAAAGCAGTGAAATTAAGGCAAGCTAGTTCTGTGTAAGATTCTGTACTGTTTTGGGGTTTTTCTTCCTTACTCATTGCTTTTATCTGCTTTTACCCAAACCTGCCTTTCCTCACCTTCCATCCACACACTGTACTTCCCACCACTTGTTGGCCAAGGGCAGTGGTTGTTTCAGAACTATCCATACATGAGCTCCCAGGCAGCAGGTATCAGCCACTGATCTGTTCCATTGTGGGCTGCCTTGAGCTAATTCTCGAGCTCATACTGCAGACTCTTTCAGGGCTACACTATTTCAGCTCTCCCCTGGACTACCCTCCACTGAGAGGCATAAAAATCATACTCAAAGTTTGTAGTTTTGAGGAGAAACTATCTCAAATATGGTTTGACATGGGCAAGCTATTAAAAGGACAAGGAAGGGGAAAACAAAAGGATCAACTACCTATCATTTCTTTTGGGAGAATAATCAAACTTAACAAGACTACTTCAGCTGCCAGAATCAGCCTATCTCAAATTCCAGAACATTCCAATATCCATCAAGACTT